CTTGGTATGTTCAAGGTATCTGCAAGATGGGTACCTAGAAACCTCAGAGCTCAAGATAGCCATCAGAGAACTGAAAGTTGTCGAGACCTCCTGGATCTCTATACTGCTGATGAAGTCGGATTTCTTTCTTGTCTAGTGACAGGTGATGAACCATCGATCCACCACTGGGACCCAGTAACTAAATTTGAATCCATGCAATGGAAGCACCCAAATTCCCCACCTCCGAGGAAGTTTTGCACTCAACCATCGGCTGGCAAGGTAATGGCCACCATATTTTGGGATGCAAGAGACTATTACTGATTGATTACATGCCACCAAAAACTACAATGAATGGACAGTATTATGCTAGTGTAATGAAAGAATTGTGAAAATCTATTCGCCAGAAACGCCGTGGGATGTTAACACGTTGTATTCTACTCTTGCATGACAACGCTCCAGTTCACAAGCTGGGAATTGCACAGGCCGCCATATGTGAATGTGGATTCGAACAGTTAAATCACCTACCCTACAGCCTAGACTTAGCCCCCAGTGACTTTTTCCTGTTCCGACTAATGAAATCTGCCCTACTTGGAAGATGCTTCCAGGATGACAAGGACATAAAGGCTGCCACAGAGGCGAGGTTACAGGGACAATCTGCGGATTTCATTAAAAGTGGTATTAAATGCTTGAAGGACAAATGGAATAAGTGTATTGAGGTGAATGGAGATCATATTGAAAAATAAAAGTGCAAAAGATATTCTGCGACTTGGTCTTATACTGAAGTTGCAAAACTTATTGAATGCCCCTCATATATGCTCTTTCCTTAATCTGCTTCTGAATGTTTGTGACAAGTTAATGGATTTCCTGGTCCGTTTCGTCGCCTCCCTAACACCTACAGTCTACATTCCACTTACAAATATCAAGAACAAAAACTTCTAGTTCCTACAAAAATGAAATCGGTTAGCTTCAGGATATTTTGAAATTCAAGTCAGACGAAATCAGTAATATATATAACAACAACATTCTACAACTGTTGGAGAATGTGGACTCTTAGGCACAGAATGAAGTAACAGTGCAAATCAACCAATCAGATGCCACCTAACCCCAAGAAGCATCAATTCACTGCTGACTTGCTAGCTCCCTCCAGCTAATGTTGTTGCACTCATGTTTCAATTGACTGAAGCCAATTTGTAGAGTGTTTTTCTTCTTGTTTAACTTTACATTGTAGGTCACGTTCAGTCTCAACTGTGTTGAGGCCCCCACTGTCCATGAACATGATTTTATGATAAAATAGTTGAAAATGATATTATGATAAACATAAAGGAGTTACATCAAGATTATTATTCTAAACGTCAGAAACATATTCCATTGGGCATTAAAAGGCAAACTTATAATAATAGTTTCATGAATCAGTTATAACACCAGATATGTTCATGAAAATAACAAGTCACTTTGAGATACATAAAGTACATATACAAGTCATAGAATGGGATAGCATTTCGCATCATGCCGACAAACAGTAATGTAGTAAAAGCCTCTGCATGTCTGAAATTTACTGCATTCTAAAAATTACAACATCACACACTGGCTTAACCCTCTCGGGTTCATTCAGTGACATTTAACTAATTCCTGTTCAGTTTTTGAAATATGATTCGACAGCATCCATTTAGATGTTACTACGTTTGTGGTCCCAAGGAGGCTGCTCAGGATAATTTGGTCCTTATTTAAATAAATGGCGAAGGTTGTTATTGACAACAATATAGGTCACCTGTGATTATTTGATCAACAGTATGGTGTGTATCAGCAGCCAGAAGTAGAGGAATTTACATCATGATCTGCCAAGTCCACGTTCTGCAACACGTGCCTCGTTCCTGTTCGTAAGGGAAAATGAACCTGTTGGAGGTACTTGAAATCTGAATATTTTGGCACCCTTTGGGAAACTAATTTGTGTCTGAGAATGTGACTTAAGTGTAAGGCATCAATTCCCTGTCAACAAATTTCAAATTTAACTGTTATCAATTGAAAGGTGCGTTAAGAAATATATTCGTGTTTAATTTTGTATACTAGTATTTATCATGAATAGAAAGGTAGATTCGAGTCCCTTTCATTTTCACTACGTTCCCATATCTTTGCTTTACCGGGAATGTACATGAGTAATAACAAGACTAATGGCATAAGCTTCATCAATAGAGATCTACCTACTTGTTCGTGTTTTCTATAATCACTGGAAACAAGGACTTATCCAAATATACCAGAACATGGGTCGATAAACATACGAATGAAGTGGGAATCTAGTTTCACGAATTCTTCCTTATTGGTAAGAAGCTAATGTGTTTGTGTTTCCACAGACAGCTGTGGGCAATGAAGTCAAACATTGACATGATGAATCGATGCTCACTGGTTAATTCTTTATTTGTTTTCATGTTCAACAAAGGCAGTCGTTAAAAGGTTTCAAAGCATATCCAGGTACGATCATATCTACATACAATCAGGCTCTAACCTGATACTTAGATTGTATCTTTGTTGATAAATCTGCCCACTGAAAACACTTTTGAGGCAAAAGTGAGCTGAAATTTCTCAACATCGTCGTCTGTGAGCACACGAGCTAAATCTGGACTGAGCAGCTTATGTCAATCCTGGAGATATGCAGGGACCTTTGTAAATATTCAACAAGCTAATTTTAACGATCGAATATGTTCAATGTATATTGCAGCCTAAATATCATGTCTACATAGTAACAGGTTAAATAATTGCATGCATTCGGCATAAATTACCTTTCATTTGTAAATTGATTCTTTTATACAATTAATACCGTTATACAATTGACAAGTTCTTCCTCAAATAAATAGCATGGTAGACTATGTAATACTGAGTTGGTATCACAACCTCATCAGCACCGGTATGTTACCTTAAATTTATCTTATACTTACAAATATTTTCAACGGGGAAATAGTCTATATAGACTCCATTATAGTTTTAATAATAGTGACAAAACCCTTTCCAAAATCATGAGACATAACACGTAAACATACAGACCAAGCCAATTTAAGGAATTGCATCGGACATCATTTTGGTCACTGGTGTGTCAAATTTGAAAATATCCTCCACATGTCTGCCATAAAACTTTTTGAAAACTTTACCAAGACCTTCAATGTTGTAACCTTGATCAAACAACCTTTGAGCAAGAGTCGTATGACGTTTCTTGAAATCTTGGTAGAAAGATCATGCTCAAATGTATCTCAGAAGTTGTGAAATGTAAACATCAAAGGTTGGAGCTGCTGGAATATTGCTCGACATGAAGGGAAAGGTGACTATTGGGAAGGTGAAGTCATCCCTCTTGTCATACAGTCATGTGGAGTGTGTTTTGTCACCCTGAATATATGCATAGATCTAAATATGCAACATATGAGGCGGTCGCACTGGTCTCCTTTATTGCTAGTTCCAGTGGGTAAATCAGTGGAAAGGAATTGGCTAATTGACTGTTATTTAACGATATCAGATCATCAAAATACCTGAAGCCTAAGTTAAACCTCTTTGCCAAATAACCTTGTTTTGACTTTGCCAATCCAAACAGAAATTCCGAGTCATATGCATAAAGGAACAGATTCGCAATCATTTTACATATTGTTTTCTCAGTAAACTTAAGATGACATTTGATTTCAATTTTGACACATCATACTAAACATTGGAATACAGATATGTATATCTATGATCACAACATTTTGTGAAAAATGACCCAGAGGGATTCCATGTCGTGTAGTATGGTGGTGTGTAGCGTGAAAAAGTCAAATGTTTCTGCAACACTATCAAAAAGTGATGATACCCCTGACACGCGCACCTTTTCGCGAAGTGGGAGGGGTCTTGTGGAACACATTTCTTTGAACACAGATCAATTCTACATAAACTACTGACTTTGAACATATATATACTAAATAAGAATAAGATTCATGGATGAACAACTTCTTTATTACAATAAGGAGCAACGTTTCGATGTAGGTTCTTACACCGTTATCTAGCAAGTGATGTACAGAGTATGGTTGACTCTTAAAGAAACAGGCCAACATTGATGTAGTTTCCAAGAGAAGTCACACCATTCAGAATGCAATTAAAGCCACATGAAAACAAACATCCAGCCACAAAATAGGACCATCAGGAGCAGTGTACCACATTCCGTGCAATTGTGGAAAGCTTATATTTGAGAATTATCTAGTCCCCCCAAACCCAAATCAAAGAACATAAAAGCTCAGTCTCCTAAGATGACTCAAAATCAGCACTCTCATCCCCATATCCGTGACAACCCAAGCCACAGCATCCAGTGGGATCAAGTCAAAGCCCTCACCACCAACATCAAAGACTTCAATATTGGAAAACTACAAGAAGCAATCAACATTAAAATACTCCAACCGTCAATTAACCATGACCAAAGGCTATTACATACCCCAGTGTACTATAAACTTATATAAAAAAAACAATCAGTCATAATCATATTGTTATATTACTGGCTCCACCCTTTTATTTATATTACTGTCTTCGCCAGTCAATATGTTAACTACCCTTTTGTGTACATAACAGGCTTCTCCACTCCGGCGTTACTACATCTGATGTCTACTCTACTGTATAAACATTACCTCCTAACTGCGTATATACTTTTCAACCATACTCGGTAAAGGTGTTAGAACCTAAACCTAAACTTCACTTAATAAAGAAGATGTTCATCCATAAATCTTATCCTTACTAAGTACTCCAACTTTTAAATGCCACTCAAAGAAGATAAATATACCTATTTCATATAGACAGAATGGAAAGTTCATAACTTCACACACATACACATAATGAGACATACATGTGTGTATTACAAGGTGAAACTACATTATATTTGAGTCCAACCATGTCCTTATATTCAGGTACATCGGAGAACAACGTCAAACCAGGATATCAGATTAATATGTCTTTTGCATTCCCCAGAGACTTGCAAAGTTTTTTTAACTGTCATATATCTTCTAAAAATAAGCACGCAACAATTGAATGATTTTATGTTTAATCAAATACGGACTGTACGCAATATACTTTTCAGGTTATAAAGAAAACAGTGCAGACAGATTTCTATATAGGAATAATAAGATATAATATGGAGTATACTAATGTTACACAAATCTACACACACACAGGGATATTGTATTGACTACGGCATTCAAGAATTCATATAATTCGTTTGAAATTAGAGGTTTCCTGCAAATATTTCGCTGTAATGACTTACAGGTTTCTTTCATAAGTACATCAATTCCAATGCGTCATCCTGTATTTATTTACCACATGTTATGTAATTATCAGCTAAATAGGAATAGGGTTTTGTTTCTGATTATACTGATACTGTATATATTTACCACACGCTATTACAAAAACACGATCTAAAGGTTAATGTGATAAATCAGGATAGTCTAAATGCACATATATTACAACAAACAAAGACTGTGAGATATTTTTAGACTTAAATTTCGGCTTACTAATGCAATAAGCTAGCACGCGTTAGTAGGACATGTGTTTGTAGTAATTATATTCACAAACTTAGTACTTCCTTGTGAAAGTACCATAATAGGTTTCGTAAGTGCCAACAGGTGCTTGGGCTGTAATTGTCACGTGAATCTCCGATGTTGTGCCCGGGACGTTGACTGTGACGTCAGCGTGACGTGTAGTGTACAGATGCATGTAGTCGCTGTAGCCCATGCTGGAGCCCACACTGATGGTGTAGGTGAGATGGTCTCTTCTGGGATAAAACACATCTCCAAAGGTAACCCTCACACTGTCAGAGCCCCAGTGAGCTAATGCTTTTCTTCCTGCGTTTGTAAATATCATATAGTAATAAAAGTAAATATGTAAACATCCATGGCTTTTTAATCTAATAATGTATGATTTCATCGTTCATGTTTGTTTTCTTAATCTGCCAATATAATACACACTGAGGAAAATGAATAGCAACAAATGATAATTACTTGATAACAAAAAATACTTGATCATATCAGCAATGTTATTATGTGCCTATTCACGAATTTCGATTGAGTGAGTGAATGTTGTTCTACTCACAGTCAGCAACATCCTACAATATCCTGCAATAACTACAGCACATGCAACTACATGCAGATCAGATAAATGATCGGTTAATAGCATTAGTACCCAAAACACCTGAAAGCAGATCAAATATTGTAAGGACTCACAATCGCTTCACAAGGTGGCTCTTGGGACAAGGACGGACTAATGCAGACAATGAATGTATGTTGTACCAGTATCATCATAAGATCATTTCGATGACCAAAATTAAAAATTTGTTGTATGGCCGTTAACATACCATTTGTGTACAAGTAAATTAAATTAAATAAATCTCATCACATGATAAGAGTTGGCAATATGTCTCACGACAGTTCAACTGACCTGTAAGTACTGGCACTGATCTGTCTACTGTTACAGATGCTGATACTGCCTCGCTGACTTGCTTGCGCTTGTTTACTGCACGAACCATAGCTGTATAATTTTCCCCATCCTTCAGACTCACACCTGATATTTCACAGTATCTCAAGGTGGTGTCCAGCCAGACTTCCATCCCTGTTACCCGACACTGGTAGTGATTGACAGACTCCTGGTCTGGCCAAGTCCACTGAAAAGCAAGAGAGGACATTATAGACTGTGGCACGTCCTTCCCATGTTGGCTGTAGCTGTTCCGTACCACAAAGTCTACCATGCTACCAGCAGACAATGGTGGTCTGAAGAGAATTTGTAGCTCATTTGATGAAACGAGCGTGTCTAGTTCCACGTTGTTGGTACACTGTATGGTCATGTATATTCTGAGCCCGTGGGATGGATGTGGAACAGGTATCTGGCATGATGTACCGCTCGTGGAGGTAACCCAGCCATGGAGATCAGATGTCAGTCTCTTGTAACCTATAAACATAAATAACGTTTTTGGAACAATATGTTGACAATTGGCAACAGGGAATAATATGCTTGTGGTTGGTATACATATGTAGACAGTTGGAAGATATCACAACACACACTTTACCTAGAGCACACCAGCATGCAGCAATTCCTGATTCATCGTCTTCAGTTGACCAGGATCCAGATGCGTGAGTTGTATCAGAAGGTTTGATACCTGAATAAACAAGGTGCACTTTTACATCTGATATTTTGGGTGGAGTGTGATCGAGCACAATGGGTTCAGAAAGATAAAGCGTCATCAGTCCGGCACCATTCTCAGCTATGACTGTTGTATAAACTGGCGTCCCATGGGGGGCGGTGACCTCCACCAACTGGTGGAACCCAGCTTCTGCACAGCAAAGGGTCTGTAGCTGAAACCCTCCTGGTGTTGTACCAACTCCAATCTGTATGTTCTTTAAGCCGCTTTCAGGGTCCATCAACCTTGTGCAGATACCTAGTAGTGAGGGCGTAAGTTGTCGTGTTGTTATTACATCTGACCCTTGTGTTCTCTCTTTGTCTGTGCATAGCTCAATTTCTATATTTGCATCCTGGAAGGTTTCTTTACTCTGAATAGTAATTTTTAAAACAGCTGAGCCATGCATAGTTTCTGCATCAAGTGTAAACTGGTATTCAGCACAGTGCAGTGTGTGGTTATATCTTGGAACAAATGGGGTCTGGATGTGGATACCACCCACTGAAAACAGAGCCTCTTCATGATTAAGATGATCACGCTGAATAGAAACCCTCACACGATAATGTGAGCCAGTGACTCGAGGTAAAGCAACTGTAAACACATTCAGGAAACCAGATGGAAGATTATTTTCCTCAAAGGACATGTTGGTGATGGAGACATTTGTGAAGTTCTTACACACAAATCCATATGGAGGAGTCTCATCAATTAACACTGGAAGGGATGTCACTTCGTTACTTAGATGTCCTGCAAAATCCTCTGCTACAACAGACGCTGTGTAATATTGTCCATGTTCTAGATTCAAGGCATCAAAGACAATCGAGTTCATGAGTGTCACTGTGGTGTTAGCTACAGTATTTGATGAGTTGTCTTCCTTCAGGTGAACATGATACTGCTTCACACTTGAGTGATGGTCTTGAAATCCATGCCATGAAACACCGACGGATGAGTTCTCAGACTGTGTCAGTCTACTTCGATGATATTCAGTGTTGAAGACGTGTCCACCAACTGGAATGTCTGCATCTACCACAAAACCATCAGAGATGACAGTGGCAGACATGTTTAGGGAGTTGATGGCACGAATGCCCACATAGTACTTGGTACCATGAGTCATATTTACCACAGGTAAGGAGATGTCTGTGGTCAGGCCTACACTCTGATATGGCAACAGGTCTGTACCTGGATAAAATAAAAGCTGTTATAGAGATTACGAAAATGAATACACATAGGATAATATGAACGTAACTGCAATATTTCCCCCAAACCACAAGTATTTATTATTTACTCATCAAATATTGAGATAGGGAATATTGAACTTACCATATTTTGTAACACCAGCCCAGACTATGTATTCCTCAATGTTTGTTTGCGTTTCCTGGAACAATCCTTGCCAACAGGCAGTAATGTCACTGTGATTGCTGTGGAAGATGTCAAAGTCTCTGTTGCATGATGAATCTGAGTCCTTCAACGCCCTGCCTCTTCTCACAGAAGGGGGTGTGTGGTCGACTCTTATACTTGGGGATGTGAAGACTCTGTATTCCGAATCTGAGTACCAGGCCCTAATGTAGATTACGTAGTCTTCTCCATGTTCAAGAGCTCGACCATATGGCAGACAGTGAACAGTCTCAGTCCTCTTTCCAACATCATACCAGGTACTTTCACTGGCTGTAAATATTCCAGCCCCAAATGGTTCGTTGAGCAGCCCCATACTCCATTCATATCGTTGTATGTCAAATGTTGTCTCCCAATGTCCAGCAATACAAGACAGAGAAGGTATGGCATAGGCGCCAGATTGGTTACGGGCTTCAGGATATATTCGGACATCCAGATGCCTATGTGATGTACTATTAGACATATCATGACAGTCTACGGGTGTAGAAGGTGGATTACATTTCCGACCAACCACAGCACATGTACAGTCGTCAGTGCAGTAGTGTGTGTCACAGGAGTGGCGCTGTAGTTCCAGTATTCCTTCACGTCTAGTCTTGGTATTTGTTGCTACTACTGATACTGTAACTTTACCAACTGGACTCAGAAGATTTGCAGAATTCTCAGCCCAAATAGATAAAACAATTTCGCCGCCACTAAGTGTCTGTGATAGTTGGATTGTGCTTGACTGCTCTTTCACTGATGAGTCATGATTGACTGTGATTGTATCATTTGTTAGCTCGCCTCCTTCATACGATGTTCCCACATTTATATGGTAGCATGAAATGTTCGATTCTGCATCTGAAAAGCCATACCAGGTAAGATTGACAAATGTTACTTCGGATCCATTGATGCTCATGGTTTGCCACGTTAGTGGTGGCTTAAAGCCTCCCAGTATAGGAGAAGTAGAATCAATCATAATGTCGTTGCTGTGTGACGTTGTACACAACCCTGCCCTGTTACAGGAAGTCACCGACAGTTGATATTTATCTCCATTCCTGAGTCTGTTATCTTTCTGTAGAATAAGTAGGTGATTGGTCTGTGGTCCTAACGTAATCTGTTCTACTGCTACTGCTGCCTCGTGGTATGTTTTAAACGTAAGTATGTGCCTATGTATTGGACTGCCATCATCAGTGAACTTCCACTTTGAATACAGGAGACTGTTATCCCATTGTATTGTGATATTTTCGGGTCCATCTGGTGCTGTTGACATGAACACTGGTCTGTCGATGGCTTTAGGTGCAGTGTCATCAACTTCAAAACTGGATGAGACAGCCTCGACAAACAGACCCACAGGGTTGTATGCTCTTACTGTCACAAACAGGGGAACAGAGAGTGGTAGGTGCAGCCCACTTGCCAAGTAAGAATCGGAGAGGGCTGTGTTTGTGAAATTCATAATGTCACAAGAATGTAATGTCTGTCCAATGCAACACTCAAAGTGATGGATTCCTGTCTCTGCATCTTCAAAACCAACCCATTTACTGTGAACATATGATCTGCAATGAAAGAAAGCATTGAAATAGAAATATAAGAATGTGGATTCAAATCGTTTTGGTGTTAACTAATATGGTTAACTGTTTTCTTTATTAATCGCACATGTTAAACAAAATTGTTAAGGTGGGGAGGCGGATGCATCAACTTATGGTTTTACGGTTTTATAATGTAAAAATATGGCTATATAGTTGAGAACAAAGGTCTTACTTCATAATCTATTAATGCTTTCAACACAATTCACCTGTGACCGTGATATTTGTTATGGGTGTCAGTGTGACCGACAAAAACAACACCAGCTGCAGGAGAGGATCCATCCATAACAACGCCATCAGAAGATGCAGTAACACAGAGCCCTGCATTGTTACACGCCTCTACAGTACTGTAATACTTCACTCCGGGGATGAAGGCATGTGTCCAGTTATAACCTGAAACATTATTCATATACAGTATACTCTCATGTGTGTTTACATGTAAGCAGAAGCTATGTAATACATTAACAGTTAATTAGAACCACTTTGATGCTCTATACGTACTTGTCCGAAGTCCAACAGACAGAAGAGGCTGAACATCCAAAACCCCAGGTGAAGTTCCAAGTCCTATTCTGTAGCCATGGATGCCAGAGTGAGGGTCGTCAAATCCAGTCCAGCGGCAACCTAATTCTGTTGTGCTTGTTTGAAAGTCTACTTCGTCCTTACGGAAAAGACAAATGATAAACTTCATTAAAATGGTATTAGACTGCATAAACAAACCAGTGTGGATTCAAGTGGCAATAAATCTACGTTTAGGAATGTAGAATGTAGACTAGATATTCAACCACACCAGATACATTTTTTTAATTTAAACCCATGAGTATGATCTTTCTTTAGGAACCCCCCACCCCCCCACACACACACTCACTTTAAGTTTATCGAATGGTCGGTCCCTTCACACCAAGTTTATTTCTCTTTTGATATGGGTTATAATTAACCTTATTGAAATGTTAAATACTAAAACGACCATTACCTTAATGCCATCATAACCATCTCGAAGAACGCCAGCATGTGGTTGGGAGTTGTCAATGATGAATGCCTTGGATGTGCAGAGAGACTGAAGCTGGGCGTTGTTGGTGGCCTATAGTGTTTAGAAATACAGAGTAGTAGCAACAACAATTATGTTCAATCTGTAGCAACAATGACGGTTTATGTATGTTTCTTACTGTTTACCTGAATTCTGATTTCATAAACATATCCTTCAATAAACGTGTCATCAATGTGAATATGTGCAGATGTAGTTCCCGAGCCAAAACGTAGATGTGACGTCTCTGTGTTGACTGATGTGAAAATAGTTAGATGGAAGGAGTCGATGCCACTTTCAGGGTCGTGGATATTTCTCCAATGGATGTGAAGTGTTTTCGTCCTCAAAAACTTCTTGTGCGGGAATAGTCTTTCAACATGAATCTCACCACACACAGGTGGAGTGAGGTCGGCTACAATTTCAGGAGAAATTCTCTCTGTTATATGACCGACATGGTCTTCAGCTGAAACATAGGAAAATGGTGCATTTAATTTTCTGTGCATGTATGCAAAATAGTGTTCATCTTGCTGATGATGAAGTTGTGCGAAGTATTACCCTAAATACAATTGTGAAATGACCGCCTGTACAGTTTATAAATTTCTGTCAGATTGTTTACCGATTATGTGTAAGATGTCAAATTGTCAGATGTTTCAGATTGTTTTCAAGGATACCTAGTATCATCAACTTGTGACAGTGATTTACTAACACATGCTTATGATATAGCGAGACCCATACCATGGGCGCTTATGGTTATTGAAAGGGTTTTGTTGTTATAATTTCCTTCAGCATAATCACCTTTGATGGTGACATAGTACACTTCCCCACTCTTGATGGAAAGCCCCTGTGCTTGAAATGACGTGCGTTCACCAACCTGTGTCCATGGTTTGACATTTTGACCATGAGGATAGTTCCCTTAAAATAAAAAGTTCAACGTTAAACTATAATCAAATGCAAATTTACAAAAGAACTGCTTATAAAACAAACATAACTGTATTTCATCGCTATCAGACTCATTCATTGCATTCTATTCTCTCTTAGATGAGATAGAGAACCGGATATGCTTAAATGTTTCAACAGCTTCATACCGATTGCAATTGAGTATGATTTGATTGCATGAGCATAGCCAAGTCCAGGTGGCTGCTTGTCAGAAAACCCAGACCATGTGATGGACATATGTGAGGAATCTGTGATGAAGCCTGACACTGTGTTAATTACACTGACAGAACCTCCAACAGGAGGAGTCTTGTCCACCACAAATCCATTTCCACAAATGGTGAAGGTCGATAGTTCCTTTTCCTTATTTCCATTGACATTGGCACAGATGTAATAGGATTCAGCATCGTAAAAGTCTATCCAGCCGAACCTGACATATCCAGTTTGTGTACATTTCCATGCCAAGCATGATTCATCCGAGTCACAGTCATACACTGGAACATGTTGAATTCCTCTCATGATGAACCATGTGATGTTACGTCCAGCTGTGTTGGTGATGATAGAACTCACTCTGCTGCTGCTGTTTATGAAGTCAACATCCAGCTCATGTAGCAGTTTTAGCCTTGTGCCAAGACGTTCACTGTGGAGAATATCCTCGACATTAGCCAGACGTTGATCATCGGCTGGTAGTTCAAACAGTGCATGCTCACTATAAGACTGAGCATATGGGTTCAATGTCAGCTCCGCACACTTAGAACCAAACTGCCCAGATGGGCAGAACACTCGTACACATGTAAACATCTTTTGAAATGAGTGGATTGGTAGCTTCAGGCATCTTGATGTCTGAAATCAGAACAAATAAGTATTCAAAATTTGAATTCAGTATGATATATGACGTGCAGATTATTATGTTACGAATACATATCATTTGTACAATTGATATACATAATGCACTGTTTTGTCTGGTCCTGAAATATCAATTATATATTACTTAATTAGATTCAATGTATATTTACCTTGACATCACAAGAGGCAGTGTCTACTGGCATCCATCTTGTAGCTGGACTGATATCAGATTCGGATTTGGTGATTGCCCACTGCATGATGCAGCTCCGAGATACCTTTCTAGTTGCTGCACACTCAATACTTGCCACTTCAATAGATATGTTTGTACAAGCTCCAGTGTCATCCTGTATAAGAGAGATTATATTACCAATGTCTGGAATTCCAGATAGCATCACACCATCAGACGGCTCACTTGACAGGCATATGTGTCCATAGCAAGGCGATACGGAAGCTAAATAATGTTGTCCAGTTTTCAGATTTAGATTGGTCAAGTGTGCTGTGCCCCTTCCTGCTTTAACCGTTGTGGCTCTGATGATGTTGACACAAGTTTCGGAAGATTCATTGTTACATGTCCTTTCCAGTAGTTCGAGATGGTAATGAGTGGCAAACTTCATGTATTTGCTGTTGGACTCCCAATGCAGTGTGTAGGATGTTTTTGAGACCATGTAGTCAACATCCTGAACACATCTGTACATATAAATGTTTAAACTGCTTCCATTTGATACACTCAGCTGGAACTTTGGATTAGTTGTAAGAGGAAAAAACTGTACTTGATATGTTGAATTATCTACGACGTTGCTACCAGTGGTGAATACATCATCAGATAGAAATGTGAATCCTTCAAAGGTAGTGATATTTCTAAGTACAGTACTGTAGTGGTGTCCAAGATGCAGTGGCTTGTCGAATGTTACGTTAATGATCATGTGGTGAGAAAGGTTATGTAAATCAAGATAGTTAACCAAACTCTCCTCATTCAGTTCACATCCAGGGCCATCATTAACAGAGATGGAATGAGGGATATCGGCCACAATCATAAATCCATCTGACGATGAAACAGTCTCTCCACCTGAACATTTCGCTCGTATTGATGTGAAGTACCTTGCAAACAACTTGAGAGAGGATGAGTTAATGCAAGCAGTGAGGGTATCCATCCCAGTGACTCTTGTAAACCCTACAACATCATCCATACCAGCTGCTGACCCGATGCCGATGTCAAAGGTAACGTTCCTGTGATGCTTAAATCCAGACCAGTGAGCACAAGCAGAATACTGCTGGTGGAAGTCTACGTCTACCAAGGAGTCTACATCCGAAGGATCGACATCAACGACCACAGCTGGCCCAGGGGGGAACAGCGATGGAAGACGGATTGAGTCAGTTCTTACAGTAGTAAAGTGGCCTGCTGAGTTGTAAACATACAACTCAAAGAGACACGTCTTTCCGATTTCGGAGTCCTGGTGCTGCAGGGGAACCAGTGGATACTGAATACAGCCAGCATGCCCCTCAGCTTTACACACCTTACTTGCCCCAGAAGGACTTTGCAGGATTGGTGTGACATAGTCCTCATCTATAACTGCAAGAAATATCATACAAACTCTCAGTGGCATATAAGTAACAGATGAATACAATATATATTGGAAGGAAAGCCATGCGAAATGTGAATGTCTCATACTAATTGACTGTGTAGTCAAAGGACAGTGTGGCATCATTGTAATATTAAAAGGAACTTTACATAAACATACCTTGGCTGCAAACGTCCTTGTATAGTAACTTTGCATGTCATGAAACACTATCAGCTGTGGCCAAGATTTCAGCACAGGAATGTTTGTTATTGTTATCAACATGTAGTTCACTTTTTTATTCAGATTATGAATTTGCTTTCAGATATTTCTGAAATTATACATTGTGTGGTACTTATCCTACCAACGCACGCTCTTCTTTTGGAAGGTGATCATAAACAATTTATATAATTAGAAGGTTAGTGGGTTTTTTATCTAAAATTATAAACATGTTTTTCACACGCCTGCCATTAACCAACCAGACTCACATTTAAGTCCTACAAACTTCATAAAGTATGAATGTACTTTATTCCAGTTTCCCAAGCCGATTCACAAGTTGATTTTTTTTACTGTTTTCAAAATTAAGACTACAAATTAACCAACATGACAAAAAATGAGCCATATCATGGTGCTCAACATCCACCTAAAGTTTCAAGGGTGCCCCTCTAGATGATTCAGAGAACAAAGTGGCAAACAAACAATTGACAACATCAACTTCAATAGTAATGAAGGATAAACTATAGCCTACATATACATTCAAAAATATGGATATTCAACATTGACCTCAAACTTACCTGCCCGGTATGTAACTGTGAACTGCTGACGTACTTCTTCAGGATCAGAGAATGTGTGATTAGTCCAGGTGACTCTGACATGATCCCCAACTATCTCTGGGACGAGCATCCCGTGTACATCTGGAGGGGTGTCATCTATCATCACAGGACCGAGTGTCGCCACTGACGAGACACCAGCCTTGTTTTCAGTCTTGATAAATATGTAAAACTCTGTCCCACTGTCTAAACCAGTTTCATGACTGTGGAAACTTGTTTTCCTATGGGTAGGTTTATAGTCGGCTAGATCTGGTTTGCTGTATGTCGACACATCATACCCAAACCCTACAAAGGAATCGCGAATCTGGCTTTCACTTTCAATTATGCTCCAGTTAAGAACAAGCTTGTGAAACGGCACATACATTACAGTCTCATTCAGATATGGTAGATCCCTACACAGACTATCGGCTGTCTCATTGTTTATGTAACCTGCATGTACAATAGGAAAACGCAAATTCCTATCTTGGTTGTAATCATGGCATCGTTCAAGGCACCGTGACACCATTGGAAGCTTAGCCATTGTCATGTTAGAGTTGATTAGCCATATGTGATTACTAATGCAATGGAGACTTGATAAAGAAGCTGCTTGGTGTAGATTGATGTTTTCAATGATCGGCGGAGAGAGATCAAACGTGATGCCATCTGAGCAAATAACGGCGGAAGGCTCAAGAGCATTGTTAACGGCAACAAGTGAAGTAAAATATCTACCTTCGGTTGGGAAAACTAGGGATAAACTTTCAGTTGTTGCTTTTTGAATGATGTTATGACTAGCATTTGTTTGCTTCAGTTCATCAAGAGTAAGACATCTGTCTGCTAACCCTACGATGTAATACCGTATACCACTCTCGTGGTCTATGAAGCCTTGCCAACTGATCAGTACATGTTCCTCACTGGTGTAATCTATGTCTGGACCGTCAATGCTTCCCTCTTGAACGACGCCAACCGCAGGAGGAGACTCATCAACCAGCACATCCAGGTGAGCAAAACTCTTAAGCATTGCCCCATTAGTTATGGAGAGGGTGAAGTAATACTCTCTGTTGTGTTGTCCTGTGTTGGTATTGTTGGCTTTAAGACTAGTGCTGCCTAAGTTGAGCGTATAATTCTGGAACTCACAAGGCCCAACAGATGGGCAGTAACAATCTGGCCCTCGTGGACAGTCATCCTGAAACCAAAAATACTAAGATTAGCTTAGACGTGATACCAATTGTGTATTTTCGGATACGCTGGATTAATAAACTATTTTGAAAATCGTGATATATATATTTGCTGGGCATTGAATAATCATTATATCGTATATTAAGGCAAGGTAACACAAATGTAATGACAGTGTTGTGTTGTACATTGTCTTCACTAAAACCATTCTCAATCGGAAACAAATCAGTGTGTCCTGGCTACCAGGGTGACCAAACGTTGTCTGATGCGATGTATGAACATTGAGAATAATGTCCATGAAACAACAGTTATGTTTGTCCATTTGCATTAACACATCTGATCTGCCTGTTTAAGAAAAGGCATGTACCATCCAATTAAGGCAATGTCGTTTTCATAAACATGAAACAAACTCAAGATAAACTGAATCTGAATTCCAATAAAAAATAATGTTTCACAATATATTCAAGTTTGTTTCCAATTTCAATGACAAATTTGTGTTACCTGATCATTTAGTTTCTTGACAGGAAGCGCCCCATTTCCGAGATCCGATGCCGCATTTATTGTCCCAAGCGCCCATAGCACAGAGGTGATCCCACTGTGGACATCCCATGCTCGAAACTGAAGAACCATTGTCGAAAGATCTGTGTTGTTGTGAACGTATATCTGACTCGTTCCATCTCTCACCAGCCAGGTATCAGCAATATCAGCCACACTCCTGTCTATGTGCACCACTACAGACTCCGCTATGGTGTTCAGCATGATATCCTGGGCCTCAATCCACACTTCATATGTTTCACCATCCGTCAGATTCAGACTAAGACTCAAAGACTGGTTGGTAAAATCAGGAACGGATTCCCACGACGTGTTTGAACCATTGTTGAGACACCATTGATACTTAAAACTGGTGATACCATGGATACTCTCAGTGCCCATGACAGGTAAAATGCCTGTTACTTGATCATATACACCTGATATTGCATTGCTTGTGTCTGGTTTCATATGGAAAAAATAATCATTCTTCACGTAATGATCATTATGATAACGTTCGTTCCAATCTAACTGAATGTTTCCATGGTGAATTTGCCAAGTATATCTAGAATCAACTGACGCAGATATGACCCTCAATACTCTAGTTGTCATAACCTCAAGTTTAGATGAATTATCATACAACAGAAAACGTCGAGCAAATCGGACATTTCCAGCAACATCATGAACTTCCAAATATGTAACATACATGGCAGGTTCTACTGGGAGTGAGACCGAGATGTTCACATTGTTTCCTTTCAGTCCATCTAATTTAAACACATTGTTAGCATAGTCCACATCCAGTGTATCAAGGCCAAGGAGTTTCATACCATAAACATCCACCTTAAAGTACTTCACTCCTGAGGCTTGTTCTTGTTTCCCAGACTCAGGATAGGGGTCTATCCAGCCTGACACCCCAACAGTGATGTTAGGAGATTTGGTTGCTCTTGTGGATAAACGCAGGGGACTGGCAGAGGAACATGGGAATCTTGAATCTTTTGTACAGTGAACAGGGGAAACGTTGTCGTATCTGAAGCAGATGGTCTTGCTTTCCTCAAGGGAGTTAAATCTGTTGTAGCCAAGGATGCGCCCATCGAAGTTCTTGTATTCAAATGAACCCCCTGAATAAACCTTAATTCGTCCACATAACCTGAAAGCATAATTTTAAATGTGTATACGGTAAATACATGTTAAGTGTTTATGACTGAGATGAATTGCTGTGATAATGTCATGTGCATGTAATTTACATGTGGCGTGAATCTCTTATGACAGTCCTCTCTTCAAGTCTTTGTAATAAAACAAACCACTGGAGTAAACACCCATTAGTCCTTGTAGCCTAAAATACATTTTAAAAGTTGTTTTTTTTATGTGATTGCTAAGAAAGGTTAAATTAAAGTGCATGCATGGCCAATAATATCAATAGCAAAGCATATCAACCAGACATTGCATACTATCTTTACATATATGAATAAATGTCAATAACATTAATTACTCATTCGTCATGGTAAGGGACGTTTCTTCAAATATGTAAAATGTTGTACAAGGCAAATAGTATCCCTAGTTACCATTCTCCATTTTGCAGGGAAGATGAACCATTCAATACTCTGTCACATGACACAAGTGCTGAAGGTGTGGACGATGAAAGGGCCCTGCTGCAGTCGCCATCTCCCCTCAACTTTGTGAATGACAGAATGTGTTCCGTACCTTTTAACATAGACAGAAACAGAAGGTTGGTTCAGCTTAATATTCAAACGCCAAACATATATAATTGGTTGCTGTCCATGGTACCTTTGCTAAAGTGGATGGAGATATAGTGCGGGATGCCTGCTTTATATGTCAGACATATCATAAAATGTATACAAATGCATAATATTCAAATGAGCAGAGTAGTCCCTGGTTGGCTGGCAAATAACTGCAATGTAAACGGCCAAATGTTGTCGAAAATAATAATGCTCTGGAAATCCTCGACAAGGTAGGAGTTAGTGAGTGAGTGAGTTGGGTTTAACGCCGTGTTTAACATTATTCCAGATATATCACGGCGTGTCAGCTTAATGTGGGAGGAAAGCCCGAAGTGATGGAGTTCTCAGACGTTTACCACTTCGGTGAACGACAAGGTAGGAGACGTTAGTGAAGAGAAGATTATGGGACTTAATTAAACAGTTGTTTTACTGGGGACAAACTTACAAATTACATATTTCTTTTGGATATCGAAAGGGTTTTGTCTCTTTATTTACAAGTCACTTGGTTATCTGGCAAAGAGACAGTTGTATCATCAGTACATTGACAAAGTTGTAGTTGGGTTTAACGGAATTAAGCTTTTCCTAAAATTCGCTGTTTGGGATAATAGTGTACAAAGTTGAAAAATATAAAAATGGACATTATTGAACATGTTTCTTTTCAGATGTATTCTTAGTGTTTTTGAGAATCCATCTGGTATTAATTCCATATTTTCTTTTGTAATTTGAAGTTTATACGATATACAGCTTTTCAATTGGACGAGAAGTCGGTTACCTGACCGCGAAATTGACGTTCATAAGTGTATAAACGACACAATTTGACGTTCATACGTTTTTCACGACACCGCGTTCTTGTCATGACGTAAACACTGACGGACTACATCAGTATTCATGAGGAAACCCCTGGGAATTCCCAGCACGAATACATGCAGAAGCGTTCTTTCTGATCATGTAGACCCTTTAAACTGAAACTCAGCGTTTTAGTACACATTGAGAAACGTCTGAGAGTTTGACTACACGATCACTCATGAATATCCTCGCAACGACCCATTCTAGTGAACAAAACGAAATTGGTAGTATCGACTCGATCCGTGTCTTGGCTGACAGTGACAGTCTACAGTAATCTATGAGTTTTTCTTAGTGTCTATTTGACACATCTTTAATCACCTTTCAATGATCGGCCATTGACTTAAAGATCAATAATGACTAAAACATGTATCCGCCATAGCTTCATTAGCAACTTCCGAAATCTTTCCCATCATGTTTATCGTGTCGGCCAGTTTGACGTCTTGTCCTTGATGTAAATATATTACAACGCGCTGTCACTGTGACTTACTGAGGTAGTTCTTAACAGACCTTTTTCATCTTATAGTGATATTATTTGAATACATAAGATGTTTCTGATGAAATTATAAGGATTGGCTTTCACTTTGGGTGAGTTCATTGGAGTATGAACCTTCATAGAGTGAGGGCCAAGCAAGCTCCGACGTTCATACAGTTTGGCCCTCACACTATGAGGTTGTGTTTCAAATATGATCTGTTAATCTACAGAAAGACTTTCTTCATTTTAGTGATCCTAAATGGTAGCAGATTGCTCATGATACGTTGGGCCATATTTGAATAACTGACGAAGGTTGTTTTTATCCGCTTAGACACAAGATCATGTAGGAGATTTTGCTAACCTGTAATTACATATTTGCCAATTAGACCTGTGTAGGCGGACTATCGTATACTAGTTCAATTAACTAATCAGTTGAGATTACTACTAGTATCTATCTTTCAAAAAATCTTCTCATAATTTTCTAACTGCAAAAGAATATTTACTATGCTTGTATGTTTTACTACACCTACATATACACTGAACTGCAAAAGATTTCTGGGTAATTTTTGTCAAAGTTTCTAAATTTAACGTTACCTTGTCCGGAAAAATTAAATTTTATAATAAAAAACAAAGCAGATGACAATAAAACCGATCGCCAAAACGCATCACGGCAACGGTCATGGTAACCCGATGCAAATTCAAATGCATTTGCGTTCCCCCATTTCTTGCCCTATAAAAATCCACCCAGATCGAATAACATTAATTCGTTATTGACTTGCTATGACATGCAAAGATTGACAAAGAATCAGCGACACTAAGCCCTCGGACGATTGCAAGCTGGACAAACCGCCCGGCAAGTAGCCAATGCATTTCAAGTCCACGTAAAAACCTTATACAGGATCCAACAACGGTACAAGACCACCAACACTACAGATGACTGACCACGTAGTGGAAGACCAAGGGTCACAACCCGACGTCAGGATCGTCAGATTGTGCGACAGCATCTTCAAGATCGCTTTGTTACTGCTGCGGAAACTGCTTGGCAGATCATGGGGACACACCAACGACACATTAGTGCGGACACCGTGCGTCGACGACCAGACACCTCCTTTGTGACAGGCTACACCGAGGACCCATTCTGACACCACATCATCGCCGGGACCGTCTTCAGTGCGCAACACAACACCAGCATTGGCGCCACCAGCAGTGGAGAAGAGCCGTTACTGTATCTCAACAGCAAATGGCAGAGAGGGAGTCTGGCGACGCCGTGGGAAACGTTATTCGGATGCTTGTGTTGTTGAGAGATACTCGTGGGGTGGTCCGAGCATCATGGTGTGGGGTGGAATTGGTCTTGCACAGAGGGTCGGCCCTGTGGTCTTCCAGAACATCGATCCAGGGAAAGGCAATTGTGATCAATCTTGAGACCACACGCCATACCTCATTTGGCACTTCGCCGCAACCACGAGTTTCAGCATGATCACGCCCGTGCCCACACTGCGAGAGCAACAAGAGACTTCCTCCAGCAGAATGGCATAAGACCCATGCAGTGGCCTGCCCTCAGTCCCGATTTAAATCCCATTGAGCACCTGTGGGACGAGTTGCAAAGACGGCTGAATGACGTCCGACCAAGGCCGACAACTGCAGCTGAACTGCGTCAGGCGTTTCTCAGAGTGTGGGCTCAAGTGCCTATGGCCTTCATCAACCGCCTCATCCATTCCATGTATGGCAGTCATCAATGCACATGGCGGACACACGAGATACTGACTTGCGATGCCATTTTCTAGTGTTGTGACTAGTGTTGTGTTTCACTTTAAGAACATTTGACACTTTAATGTCAATCTTGATGATCAGTTTTGCCAAGTTTCATCTTTCTAATATGTCTCAAAGTATGTTTACAGTGTTTGGACAAATAAGGTTTCTCATATATCTATCCATGGTGACGTTTCTTTTGCGGTTCATATATATGTTCGTTTCTTGGTCATTATGCACTCCCAGTTGACGGCTGGTGAATCCAATTTGCAAACAAACACGTAAATAACAAATGACATAAACAATACAGGTGAAAGATAATTTATAATGCTTTGCCATGGGATTTAAGGCCAGACAGTTTGGATCAGATGTCGAAAAGGTCTAACCTATTTTAACTGTGGTTAACATTCCTTCGAAGAACTCAAACACCTGAAATGTTTATGCAACATTCTTTTGATAACCGTAATTAAACAGATATTCAAGAACGCTTAACGCTATGCTTAACTGTTAGAACTCTTAGTGAGTCGGTCATGCGTGATCCACGTGAAATGTGCTCACTGGAGCTTTCTCATTGCAGCAATAGAGAAGTCACCTGTGATACAACGACCAACAGGTTGGTAGCAGTATGATGTATCTTAGTATCCATAAGTAGTAGAGTTTATATCATGAGCTGCAAAGTCCACGTTCTCCAACACGTTCCTATAACTTAACAACTTGGATCATAATGAAATAAATTGTTTGATAGGCATTACTTAGATGTTGACGGATGACAAAGTATACACAATTTATGGATAACAACTTTACATCCATGCTGGGTGAACCGAAAGCTCTTTGTGTATCAATGAAAACCATAAAGAGCCGTCAACGTTTATCAAAACCATACTCTGTCGTCGATATTGTGGGCTCTAGATGGTTGTCGTCCCATCCTTCGTCAAAAGCTGCAGTAGTTTAATTTCCTTTAACATCACAGATATAGTATAGTCTTAATCGTACTTTATGCAGTCCAAATCCCAATGGTGCTTTTAAGGAGGAGCAACGCATCTTCCAAATTGACGTTGGCAGTTCAGAAAGATTGCCTATGTTCTTATAATTGTCATTTCATCTATATGGTTAATGACCTGTCAACACCTTTTTACCATATACAGGTAACATATATTCAGCTCAATTGTATTATGTTCTTGGTACGGTTAAAAAGATAGGTATAATGTCGGTGATATGTAGCATTTTCATTTGACGAGAGGCCGGTCACATGATATCTTTTCCACATAACCTATCAATCTAAATCCTCAGTGTCTATTCCAGGAAAGGTGTCCTTCTTCAACATATATTTTCATGTATACAATTTCTTTGTTCGATTTTGCGATTGCATCTTAGTCGGGTCCGTCAAATGATGAAGATGACGTTGATGCTGCTGATGATGGACGATACATCCCAAATCAAGTTTTTAAGCAGAGAGACATTTCGCCCATAGCATATGTAGTCCAACATTCATTTTACCTGACAGGTTTCTTCTTGTCACAGTCACGTTGCTATCCACGATGCCAATGTAGGTTCGACCAAGATACACAGGCGGAGAGGATGATACTTTCTGTTGAAAGTCAGCTGTGATGCTGAAGGCCATAAACTCAGGTTGTATGTTGATATATACGTCTGTCTGTGAATAACAGTCGGTCATGTCGCTAATGCTGGTGCTGTTCCTCATGCTGCCTCTGATGTCTTCTATTCCAACGTTGCAGGTGAGCAATGTGGCCTTTGTGTCAACTACCCAAAACATACACCAAACGCATTTTATGTTAAAGGAATTCATACAATATATAAAATATCTATGCATAGACATTATAACTACAAGTTGTCTTCAGAAAATAGTACTACAGTTTTTTATCGTCGATTATGTATTTAATTTAATTTTACAATGACCGTCATCCAAAAAGAAAATGCTGCATTTAAATCAAAACTGCCAAATAGTAGTTTTTATACTGTCCTTTGTTGACAGATTTTAACATGCTATTGTATTATATCAATGTATACCTTCAAGTCAGGATATGGCTGAAAATATGCCGATGTGACATGTGAACTTACTCACTAACTAAATTGGACATTTTATCAAAATGATACATTTGCATTTTTTTCATAGCGCTTGACTGCTTGGTTATTCATGCCATGTATATTTCCTTATAAAGCCTGACGAACCAATCGCTTATATTCAAACGATTCATATTATCTACGCACTACTCAAATTGTTTCAACTGTACATTAAGCATTTCTCTGACCAATAAATGTAAAGGGACATGCCCCATAAAACTACTCACCGTCATGGAGCAGTGGGGCATCCTAGTGGTTAAAAAAGAAATATTGCCGAAAGCGTCGTAAAACCTCACTCGCTCGCTCGCTGGCAGGCAAACCCAAAACCAACTACCCCTCACTCACTCACCGTCACATATTGCACTGCCTTTCCTTCTGAATCCGGCATCACACAAACATGACTTTGTGAGACCATCAGAGCATGTTCCAGGCCAGCACCACCTCTCCTTCACATACGAGCACGTGGCTGAAACAGTATGATGACGAAACTTGCGTCACTGTATATAAAAACAGAGAATATTTACTTAAATACACTTCATGTGGCAAAATTTACAGACATGAAGAATTGACTTCATACATTTTACATCCCTACTATTTGTCCACGTTGTCATAGCCTTTTCTAATTTTGATTAACATCTATATATTTCTAATACATGCCATCGTTTCCTTTTCTCCCACAGCGAACAATCCTGTTTTATATAAACAGAACAGTTGTTTTCAAGTTCAGTAACCCTGTTTTAAAAGTTATGCAGTCTACTGACACGTCTAACGTCTAACTGCCATAAATTGTTCTTTTGATTACAGGGTGCCCCAGTCGTCTAAGGCGCCGCGATTCGCTGTGCAGAGTTGCGTCCCTTGGGCACGCCAGAAATCTATGATTGTGGGTTCGAATCCCGGTTCGCCCAGATTATGTTTCTAGGTTTGTCAGCACCATACCCGTGCTCGTGGGTTTCACCGAAGTGGTAAACGTCTGTGACCTGCATCACTTCGGGCTTTCCTCCAACATTAAGCTGACACGCCGCGATATAACTGGAATACTGTTAAAAGCGGCGTTAAACCAAACTCACTCACTCACTCACTCACTCACTCTTTTGATTACACCGTTGAATTGGCAAGGTACCCAAGAGGCGTGAAATCACAAAGGACAATACTAAGTTGAGACAACAGAGTGTGGGGGCAATACAGACAACATGGCACATGTGTTATAACAGAGGCAGAAAAAATACTGCACCATCATACGTATGTAGTACTTATATGCATTCAGAACACACTCGAAAACAAATATTACTAATTATTTTCTTTTTAGGGAGACAGATACTGCTAAAAGTCTAGTTTTCAGCAATAACTGTACTTGATGACAATAAATAACACGCTCGGTACATGTGTTGATATACTCACCGTCACAGTGTTCCTTATCCGGACGTAACCACAATAGTGAATGTTTGATATCCCCACTCATATCCACACAACTACCTGCAAGGTAAAATTTCTATAAGTTTAAGGTTGTATGTGCGGAACCCAAAATCCGTCAGTATCAGTATCAGAAATATTACCATAGTGCTTTGAGTTAGACATATTGTGTTAAATTTTCTTTTCAACCATGACAATAAGCTTGAAACCAATATCCATGAATAACTTAGCTACTTAGGAATTATTATGTGATACATCTTTTGTACTTATGACAACACTTATCATATGAATATTTACATAAAACCGAGCTTTTTTCAACAAAGTCTCCCAGCACCTCTATCGCGTTTGTTCCAATGGCGATTAAATGAAACGGATAGCTTTGGATACTAGATATGTTTCAAAGTGTATGAGACTTTACACCATGAATGGAAAACATTTGGCACCTTGTCTGCAATAGTAACAACGCTAATACCCACGGTAACATCTTTGCTTGTCTTTTTGCATCCGATATATATAATTTGCAGTTGCAGGAGGGGCATTACAAGTTGTGCATGCGTGACATTCTTGTTTCAAGCAGTTTTCTAGATAGGGACACACTGAAACATACAGAACATCATGTTGTCCACTGTAACATAAACATTCAAATTCAAAGTAACATTCTAATTGGCTATGTATTGTTACACATCCATATAAATATCGAAAATGTTTGACAGCAGTATATAGTTATAATGTGTTTCTTTATGTTCCAATTATGACCTTTGGTGTCTACAAATAATTAACAATGTTGTTTCCTTATCATTGTCTCGGTAACATAGGCTGATATTATACGAAGTTGCAAAAGTGCAAAACACTTCTTGGAATGCAAAAAGGCAAGCCTAAACATCAGAAAGCGGACTATACTTTTCCAAATCAATAAACCATTCTACATCTAAACAAACAATGTATGATACTGCATGGTTATTATTATCTGGGAGTAGAAACTGTGTCAGTTAAACACACTCTGCATTCTTAATAGAGGCGCATTTCAACCTAATTGTTGGGATGTATACGCAAAAGTGATTTTAGATGTATATTTTATATATCATATAAATAATCAACAAATGGTAATCTATTCTTCAAAATAACCACACGTCATTGTCTTTGACCCAGGTTCCATATGGCACACATGGAACAGTAGATTTTTAAGGTGATGGTCATCTCTTCTCATTTATATTGTATGGCCACCATAAGAGTCTAAAATTGACTGGCATCGTCGTCCCATCGAAGCAATCAGATCCCGAATTGTAGCCTGGGGAATGCTCATCAACTCTGCCTGCAGTGCTTGTGCCAACTATACCACTTTGGTGAAACCCACGAGCAGGGATACCTTGCTGACAAAAACCTAATAACATTACGCTATTCGAACCCACAAACATAGCGAATTGCGGCGCCTTAGACGACTGGACATATATGCCGAGCCCATCTTCTGATTACACAATCATCACATTCCATCGTGTATTGATACTTGAAAACTTGTGTCTTCATTGGTGGGAACAAATATGTGAAAATTGTTAAAGACGCACGACTGAGTACATGTCACGATAAGAGCCCACTCGATTTTCAGGCAGGTGATTTAAAAAATCAAAGAGTTATATATCCTGAATAAACTAAAGTATTACAGACGTTTCTCGTTGAAAGTAATAAAAGTGCTTTAATAGTCATATGTCAAATTGACATCACCTATTATTCTCTATACATTACGCATAATCTCCATATAATCCCTACATTCAGACCCGAAAATATGTACACAAATAGGCATAGTTAACCATAAGAAAAGTACGATTCACCTTCATGTTGACCTGAACATCGCGGCCACTGCAAAATTCCAGCAAAACAAACAAATAAGCTTCGTAATGATATCGCTGCATGAACTGTTGTTGCAGTAGAATTGATACTGTTTTAGTCATGACAGGATACCTTTGTAAGTTATTTGGTCCGGACAAAGAAATTCACAATGCTCATAGAATTGTTAAATTGAGTTCCCACTGTTATATTCGTGATATTTCAGCTTATTAACTTACGTGTGCAAGTATGTTTATCTGTACTTAGTTTGAAATAATGCTTCTCTGGAGGAGTTTCACAATCAACACAGGTTTGACATCGCTGTGTGCGGCAGTTGTCTATTGATCTGCAAACTGAAAAAAGGTTGTAGATTACTGTGATTACTGTGACCATGTTATCATTTGTTTTAAATTTATTTCCATAATATGCATGTGCATACATGTATATTGTTGATCTCACATGGATTCTCTTCTCTGTTCGTTCCAATTGATAAATGCAGCCGTGGAGGGTGAATATCTTAGTGTTTGAAAAATTTAGTTTTGAACCAGGCATATACTCATGTCACCTGAAATTTAGCTACTTCAAAACGTCAACGCCAGAGAATAATCAGTTTTCTTCACCAAAAGGGAACTATGTCCTGCTCCACACGTAGCATCCACCACTCACACAAATTTAATTTTAACACGTAAGTGTTTTGTGCCGAACGCCGCACCCAACAATACTGGTACTCCTGTTTCTTTACCATGGGTGATCCAGACCACAAGTAATTATGTCATCATCTCGAATAATACGAAAACATAAATTGAAAGTCCCATCAATCGATCGCAATACGATTGCAATAGTGGTATCTTATTTCAATAGTGTTTGATTTATGCAAACATAAACCTGTCTGTGACAGTCACTCTTCGCTACATATGATCTGAACACAAGGACCTGTGACCGTTTAGTTTGATTTAAGCTTTCATTTGTAAGCTTGCAAAATTTCCTTATCCATTTTTGATGACTTCTGAACGACATACATGTATGTGTGCTTTTCTTCATGCTGCAACTCACAGAATCAATGAGACCATAACTACAATCCTGAATACAAGCGTTATCCCAAAAGTGAGATTGATATGATGTATCAATCGAATTATATTCACGTCACAACGAAACATTGCTTTGAAAAAATATCAACTTAGGATACTGATTCCTGAAAACTTTATTGTATACAATTAGTTATGCACATATGGTGCCACACCTATTGGGAATTATAGTAGCAAAAGGTATAAGGGAATGGTTATGAAATTGAAAACAACCCTAATTGGAGAAATCTATAAATTTCTGTGTCACAAAAAGATAATTATTGACACAGTCAATGGCAGTCATTTTGGATTGTCATCAGGCCTGATCACCCAAATAAAGTACATGCCAGTGAGCAAGTAGAAGATTGGTTTGAAAAGTTAGCTGTAAGCAAAATATGTCATTCCATGAAATGAGAATAAAATATACATGCTCTTATGTAATTAAGTGCCTAATGATCTGAGAAATGTAGATCCTATTTGTTGAAGCTGGTGATATTGCTCGAAGGGGATATTCACATTTGGAAAATGAAAATTATCCGTCATGTCAGTTTGGTACATAGGTGTCATCATTTTAAATGCCAGTACATAGACACAGAATAATATGCGTGGTTAAAAGAAGATAACATTTAGCTTTGAAATTGTAATTTACCACTGATTTATATATGTCCCATGCACATCCCAAAATGAAATGAACATTTAATGAATCATCAATGAATCATTTAAAAGGAAAAGATGACACCGGCAGTAACTATGGACTGTCTTAGTTGTGGTATCCAAATTTAAGAATAATTTTCATCTTACTTGTTGTATTTCTATTGATGTATTGCATACACTACCTGTGGTATGTGTGCGCTCGTGTGCGTTGTTACCGCCCTCCAACGAGCAGCCACAGTGGAATTCGTAAGTAACACCACTTTCAGATTGCTCGTGAACACGAACCTAAACAATCAAACATTCATAGGTTAATTTTCAGTTAACTTTCAAAATTACGTGATATAACCCCGCAAGCATGTTTGTTCATTGTGAAATGATATACTCAATTTTCAAAGTGATTAACTATAAAATTATGCTTTTATGTACGTTGCATGTTGAAAAAGGTTAAAACGTAAATCGTTTAAACATGCACCTCGTCTTCTACAGCACACAGGGTACATGCGCTGATCGACAGGCAAGTTCTCACATAGCCTGTTTTCTAACCGAATGGAGGCAATGTCTTATTCATGCCAACATTCTCGAAAGTAGAGCTCGATTCATAAAATAATTTCACCTATGAAAAGGATTTAGTAAAAATATCCCTATTGTCCTCAAATGCGTGTAATATATTATAATAGCGTTGAAAGTAATGAATAGATCAGCGATGACATCAGATGTTCGCGAAAAGGGTACCCATGTCCTGTCCTACCGGTAGGACACAAGACACATATGAGACAAAAGGCTGTGTTTTTGACATGTGGTTTTCTTGGTTGCTTGTTGCTGATGGGTTCATTCATGTATATTTACTTATGTTCGATAAAAAAAGTATACGGTGGTGTTAAGAACAAAAATAGCAGTCAAAGATAATTGGCATTTTAACTAAAGTTGCAACACTAGTCAAGTTATGATTTCATAATGTTATACAGGTTTCATATGAATCCAGGTTTAGGCAAATTAAATTTAACACGCACGTGATCCTAGAGGCCTTTCAATAAAAGTGCCCAAACCATTTCCCATAATGCTTAAACTTCTCTTCACACCATTTGTGTTGGTAAACGAGTGTTCAGTACACTACAGTGTGTATCATGACGTTTGATGGGCGGTCGGGTAGCCTAGTTGTTAAAGCGTTCGCTCGGCACGCCGAAGACCTGGGTTCGATTCCCGACATGGGTACAATGTGTGAAGCCCATTTCTGGTGTCCCCCGCCGTGATATTGCTGGAATATATCTAACAGCTGCGTAAAACCATACTCACTCATTCATGACGTTTGGAACTGTCACGTCTAAATGCAAATGACCCTTAAATATATCACAACCGCTGCTCATTGGTTATATGCTACCATTTGCAAATATGCTCAGGACATGTCACAGAAATTGAAAATAATAATTTTGTTACAGTGATCAAAAGCCATAATGAAATAATTGATTGTTTTGTTCGACATTAATACCCTTATGTCCGAGTTAGTAATAGTAGACACTGATATCTGTCAATACATTACCCAGTCAAGATTCCATCCAGCCTTCGATCCGGAATTGTCATGCCATATTCTGAAACATGGAACCAAACAATGTCCACGGGTTTATATTACATAACTAATATATGAAAATGATATCACATTTTAGCACAGTTGACAAACATATGGGTGTACGTTTTTGCAGACTATTGCCCATTAACAATGCATTGACGGTTGTGCCCCCCCTCATAATGCATCTGATAGAATTTACTCTTAACTGTGACTTCACAATGAGGGACAGTCAATATTGTATTTTGGTTTAGTAATCAATTTATATTTATTCTATTTATTTTGTAGCTAAGGGGACACGTTGGTTCGTCAATATGATATCAATGCCTGACTGATAGGTTGACCAACCAATTAGTCCTAAAAATCGGTATCTGGTATCTCCTGGCATATGACTTTTTAGACAATGCTTAAACGTGTTGATTTCTTTTAATTTTAATTTGTCAGTGCCCAGCGCCTTGAAGAAAACGAAGTCTAAGACACCTTCATACAATTTCAAATTTCTGAGACTTGTTTCAGAAAGAATTATTTTATAAATGTTTTACTGACACACGACGTTTGTATTGTAAGGGTACAATACTTTATTGGCTTTGGTGTCTCTCCTTGTAAAAGGGACACAGAGATATAAAAGCCCCTAAGTATTTATTTGGTTGGGTTTTTTTCATTGATCCGTCATATGTTGTAGAACTATCTACAATTATGCCTCAGTTAAACTACCGTGCTGTAATGCAGCCACCACTCCTGCTCGCTTTATTCTAAAAAAACGTGGCATATAATTGCGTATTCCGGTTATTCAAGTAATAATCATTGGAAAGCTTAAAAACAATTCCGACTACATCATGAGCTCTTGTTTATGAAATCACTTTCAAATAGTGATGATAACTGGTGTTCGCGAAAAGGCTCACATTGTAGCAATACCCCACATATCGTTTACCTTAATTTCTGTATCACTCCTATTTCGTCGATACTGACAGTGTTTCTGGCAACGTCCCCTCTACCAAATCCCCCAGTCATGCGCATGTCTCCCGTGACACCTTTATCACCTGTCAGTCTGACATACACTTTGGCCCCGGTACCAGAAAACCAGGCTGAGCTCGTGCGTATTTCAATCTTTAAACCTAAGACAATACATCAAAAGAAACAAGATGTAAAATATAAGTATACTTAAATCAGACACGATAAAACAGAGAGCTTATATATTTGCTCACTGGCCTCTTTCGGAAACATGAAATATGTGATACCAATCATAAACACATTTGCACAGGACTGAGTCGTTCAGAAATGTATTGGAGATGAAAATTCGGTCGATGAAGCACCGTAAAATAACAAGTAAAGTTATTACACAACCGCACATTCTTATATTTCGCTTGGCTATAGATGGACACCAACAAAAGGCCACCATTCTGGAGACAAATGGGGCATATAAAACCTCGGCTACCCTCATGATGTCCGAGCTGGATCTAAACCAATTCATTTGTTCTAGGCATTTGTAGACTAGAATAACCGGTGAATAAATGCATGCCGAAATATTTTCGCGATAAGTTAAAACGGCAGTAGGTATAAACAAACCCTTAATGAAGCTGTCTTACATACCCTCCAAAGGGACGCTATTCGATGGTGCTTCAACACCATCCTTTGGATTGGCATGGCAATGCATGTGTTTGACAACCCTGATATAATTAAGCTGCTTTGATAGATGATGACCTTAACTAAGTTAATCCTTAGAGAAATCTCGTGAAAGGCCTTATATAAAAAATCTAGAGTATCAATGATTAAGATATATGATTTACAGGTACTTGTTAAAGGAGGCAGGCATTCGCCACCACAGCCGTCGGAATCACGTGTCGGTTCTAGCATATTGTTTAAAATGGCAATACAAATCCTATGTTTTTTTGTGTTATTCAGTTAGATTAAAGATATCTGTATTAATGTTGTTGTTCTATATGGAATATCCCAGGTTAAAACAAGAAGCTAAAAAAGATCATCTAAACAAGGCACCTCACGGTACACGTTGCGAGGTTTATAATAGACCATAAATGTACTCATAAACTTCATACTGTTTGAAAACTTTAAAGAATATTGTTTATGCTCCAGAATATCGACAAGATAAGTAAGGAAAACTATGAGATTGCACAAGATTCTCTATTTGGAAAACCAACTGATAATACTGTCGTTATATAGAGATGACATAGCTGCATCGCCCGATTTGAAGAAATTTCATTTTTGTTTTGAAGTGTTAGTGAGCAGCATGAACTAACGAAAACATCAGTGTAATCAATAATGAAACCATACACACGCGAATCAATTGGATGAATTAAACATATATTGTCATTCAACACTAAAGCGCATTACTTCTGCTCCCAGATCGTCGTTTTCGGACCAGACGCTGAAGGCTTTCCATCTCAGATAATTTCCTCACACAGCGAAAGGCAGATGGATGATCCATGTTTGTAGAAGTGACATCTATTGCCTCCGGGATTCCAGAGTGACCACCACGCCAAGCAACCTGTTTGGTAAACATCAATTTAGTGCACCATAAAACATACAATACAACTTCATGCTTACTTGCTAAATTCGTATGCTCTACACTTCACGCAACCAAAAGCAACTCATAATCATTAAACGCTATTTGTTTCAACTCTTGCAGATGATCTGTTCTCGGTTACCTGGGAGCTTGGTTAATTGGAAATTCCACGAAATACCACATTGTTACCTGACAAGAAGGTGTGTTCATACCTTACCGGATATGGCATCGTGTGTGTGTACCAGAGGTATCATGAGTAGACTGGTACTTATTCATATTCTTACAGTCATGGTGTATTTGTCACGAAACGTACTAGTCGGACACCTTCAGCAATGCCGCCGGCGGAAGGTTAGTCGATGGGCGACCTTGCCCAGCTAGCCTAACACATTAGAGTTTCTAGGACTTCGGGGGGCGGTCGGGTAGCCTAGTGGTTAAAGCGTTCGCTCGTCCCGCAAGACTCGAGTTCGATTCCCGACAAGGGTACAAAGTGTGAAGCTGTTTCTGTTGTCCCCCGCCGTGGTGTTGCTGGAATATTGCTAAAAGCGGTGAAAAACCCATACTGACTCACTAGGACTTCGCTCCTGTTTTTCCCCACCCTCTATTAAACTCGTGTTGTTTCTATATTTAAGTAACTGAATCGAGATCTGCCTCTGTTCACAAAACACTAACAGGTACTCTGTGGATGATACAGCAATGTGAATTATGTAATAATGATATGATAAAAAAGTTTACCTCAAGTGAGATTTTTGTGAGGTTTCCAAAGAGCAGGCCTCTGTAGATTAAAGTTTCTTTAAGCAGAGAGCTAAAAGATGCAGCCATATGTCTCACATTTCCCTCACTAGTTTGTTTTGTGTCCGTGAAAAAAGTAATGCCAACCTGAAACAATAATGTTAATTTGTGAATGTCCAAACATGCAACACATAGGAGATTTCTAGCATTTATCGTTAATGTTATAACTTTAATTTATGCAATGTAATTGACGTTAATGCAAGCAGTGGAGCGAATTTACAATAAATAAACAAACCCCCAATCCACCAGTTCTAACTCGAGCCATTAATTACGTCGATTCTGATCTGTAAGCTATTTACTATATCAATGTATCCAAATGTATATAATACAATCCGTACTATACAAGATATACTACATTTTCCAGAACAAACATGCACAAAATACAACGCAAAAGAAAACGATAAGAGTTGTCAACAATTTTCAGGTTTCCATTTCATGATCAAATATCTTTTGTTTCTTCATTTAGGGAACGTGTGTGGGTGTCATCACATATTATGTATGTTTACAATAAATAACTTTGCAGGTTACCTATTTTCTCAAACAACAGTTATGTTGCAGTTCACTTTAAAAATGTGACATCGCACTATACCACATACAATGCAAAATCATTACCTATAAATTGACACAGACTTCCTAAGCATCGACGTCAAACTAATTACTTGCAGTTGAAGATAAAGTTGTTCTATTTGTGAAAAAAGCTTGGGCCATTTGTAAAAAACACAAGACACGTGCTTGTTGAGAAATATACAATATTTATATACGATGAAGCTAGGCAGTAGTTATTCAGAAACAATGTATTATCGGTATTTCTTACACACCTGTGGGTGAGAAACCCATTTGAGATAACTGGTATCAAACATATGTGTGAGATCAAATTCCAGGCCCGTGATTGGCTACTCCATGGTGATGACCTGGGGTCAGATGATGACGGACTACTTTCCTGAGTGTAAGTCATTCATAAGTAGCTCGTGCTTCAGTCGAATGTTCACCTACGTCTGTATTGAACAGCAAGACCGTGTAATTAATAATAAAAATAAACAAACTCGTCTTCGTCTGCGAGTTTGTTTGTTATTATTATTATCAGTTACATTATCTGTTGTTATGGCAACGTTTTTCAGAGTGTAAACCCCCTGGATGCCACAGCGACACATATGTCCCTTCTCTTCAACCCTCACTTCGAAATCGAATAAAATTCAAAATACATCACGCAGAATCTTCACAGTTTTGAATTCCCCCTTCTGTTTATCATTTACTGTCATTTTAGGCAATTCAAAATTACTGAAAGTGACTGAAAGTTAGGTACATTGTAAATCTCGCCAAATCACAATTCACGGCGTTATATAAATGTTAACTGTGTGTTTAGAATCTAAATATCGGATATTTACTCGAATAATTAAAGTAGAAAAATAGCATATTGGTGATCACGGGTATCACATCACTAATGATAATTCTTAAACGTCGCTGATAAGCCTAGAATCGTTTAGAATGTTTTGGAAAATACGCATACACGAAGTTCACGAACGCCGAAGTGTACGATCCGCAATATTGGATTGTGTTTACAAAATGCCGGTTATGAGACGCCTATTCGATCAGGTATATTTCAATACATGCATCCCTGAATTCCTAATACATTTTCGAAACAATGGATAAATGGTCTTTGTCACCAATGCAAATTATCTAGATGAAATCATGCGAAATAAATTATGTATGGAAACGAAAACTGTGCTCGGAAAACTGTACTTGCTGAAATGTAAACAAAGCACAATATTCAGATTTTACACTGTGTAGCATTTTTAGAGGTACTTTCGACTAATTGTTGCATACACTGGCTCCATCACGCGTTTGAGAATATTCATGGGAAGAGTATCGTTGCACTAATTATGGAATTACACATATATACATTACAATGATGTGGTAAATTCAACAGAAGCCGTAAAAGTTTCCGTCCTGTGTGACGCCATGACTGACGCTAAATCACGCACAACGATGACGGTAGTTGTCTGCATTTCTGACTAATTCTCTTTGTTACATTGGAAAACATGGTAAACAAATAACAGTACGCAGAGTCAGAATGTTTCTGATTACTTACGTGACACATTTATGTGTATACGATCCCTCAATCAACGAAAACCTCCTCTGGAAATCCCGCGTAATGTTGTCAGTGAACACGCCATTTTGTAAAAGTCGGTCACCGGTAGTGATGTCATACGGAAGTAAACATTGTTGTACATATTTGGTAATTTCTTTGAGGTGTAAACATTCAACTTGGCACACAGTGTGTTCTTGGTTTTTGTCTAGTTTGCATTTTCATCATCGCCTTGATAATCCACATATATGACGGAAACCTTTTTGTGTAGGGTCACATTATTTATGAGTAGCAAGCAGCACATAGGATGACGTCACTTATGACGGACAGACTCGTTGTAAGATCAATGGTATCTGATAGACACTCGTGTAGTAATCTCTTTGTACTCACAGACATATTTCTTCCTACATTGACATCGACCATTCCGTGTTGCATATGCGTCTTAACGACATATACAGCATTCTGTGTGGTAATGTTTGATCCATCAAAGTAGGAAGAATTTGTGTAGACGTTGACATCAGCCTGTAATATAGAAACTCAAAGTATTCCAAGATATCTGGAACGTTCACAAATGCTTTAAATAGTGTAGGACCACATCCGTGGTCAAGTGGACAGAGTGGCTGCCAAGAGGGCAGAAGGTCGATTGTTGCATCCCCGACCGCGCCATACCAAGATACGTTAATAGATGGTATTGTTGTTACCCTGCCTTGCGCTCATTAAGGGGATTAAACAAGTACTTATCTGCTCGGAGTCAGTATACTGTGTCTCTGTGGGCTATTCATGTTCAGCTGCAGCATAGTATCTCAGTGGACTATCACTGTAAAACCGGCATCAGTCCGGACTAGTACAAGTACTCCCGTTCCACACACACACACACACGCACGCACAAACGCACGCACGCACAAACGCACGCACAAACGCACAAACGCACGCACAAACGCACAAACGCACGCACAAACGCATGCACATGTAATAATCTTGAACGCGTCGTCAACCCCCATTTCACCTTTAAATAGATTGTATGGACTCACTCTGTGAACAGCATGAGGTCTGCAGTTGTATATGTACGTGGAGGAAACTGAAACAAAAACTACAGTATTAGAATTGCATCTTACAAACCATGATGGATGCTCCATGTTCCAAGAGTATGGTCCATATCAACACCCTCGCATAATTTTTTTGGGAACAACCTTAGTATATGCTGTATATGCTGCCAATCTGGACAAAACTGACACTTTAAAGCCTTTTCCCATATCCCAAAGGAGAAAAATATGTTCATGTTAATATATGGTATTACATGCTGCCATTTCCACTTGTGAAGTGTGCACAGGCGCATTGTCCTTAAGGGGGTGGTACACCTGAACAGAGCTATCCTGAACGTTTTTCGTTGACAGCTTCTCTTAACTGACTCTGTGGAATAGTATTACCATGGAAGATAATAACCAAATCTTGTTTTTACAATAAAAACATATATGTCCACGTGTTCAGGAACTTCTGGTTTCTTAGATGCGATTTTCACATAAAAGCATGTTTAACAAATCAGTCATACTAATTTCAAGAATTGTGTAACTATTTTTGCTACAACGTCTCAGTTCAGCAAGAAAGTTCTTATTGAATAGTGTAATTTGGTAATAAAATATTATATATTTAAGTTTTAAAAGTCACACACATTATCTGATGACCAAAACGTTAGGTTTCTAAATTAAAAAAATACAAGACCCTTTCAATATTCATTAGACATCGATTGTACGATTCCGACTCTTCCATGAGCATCTGTTCATGAATCACTATCAAATCGTGATGTTACCACATGTTCGCGGGGGGCACGGGTGGCCCAGTCGTCTAAGGCGCCACGATTCGCTGTGCAGAGTTGCGTCCCTTGGACACGCCAGAAACCTATGATTGTGGGTTCGAATCCAGGTTCGCCCCAATTATGTTTCTAGGTTTGTCAGCACCATACCCGTGCTCGTGGGTTTCACCGGAGTGGTAAACGTCTGAGACCTGCATCACTTCGGGCTTTCCTCCCACATGAAGCTGACACGCCGCGATATGACTGGAATACTGTTAAAAGCGGCGTTAAACCCAACTCACTCACTCACTCACATGTTCGTGAAAAGAGGAGCGTCTCCTGCCCCACCGGTGGCACACGTCACAAACACTTACAAAAGGCAAGTCAAATGTTGACCAAACAAACACGGGAACATATGGTACAAGTCAACATCAGGCATTGCATCGGACGTTGCAATGACTCATCAAATCTTGAAATGTCCTCCACATCTCCACAAAAACACTTGAATGCCTTGAATGAAACTACATCTGACCAAAAGTCGTATGACGCTCTTTGAAATCTTGGTAGAAAGAACACGCTCGACTGTACCTCAGGTTGTGAAATGTAAACATCAAAGGATGGAGTTGTGGGAATATTGTTTGACATAAAGGGAAAGTTGACTATTGGACTGTTGTCTTACTGTCTAATCTTTTGCATCGATCTAAATATGAAACAGATGAGGCGGTATCACTGGTCTCTTATTTCTGGTTCAGATGGGTAAATCAGTGGAGGGAATTTGCTAGTTGATGGTAATTGAACATCGATATACCTCAAGCTTAAGTTAACTTCTTGGCCAACCTGCCATTTTTCACTTTGCTGATCAGAGCAGAATTATATACAGAAACAAATCAGCAAGAAGGGAAGCACAATTGGTTCCCATGGGGGATGCCGACTTCTTGCCTCAATGTCTTAGTGACCAAATTTCACATAGATGTTATCGATGAGGAAGTTCATTACTTCAAATATTGACTTCTCAGTATACTTCAGATGGCATTTGCATTCCTTTTTGACAAATTGACCTGAACTTCTAAATATAGATATGTAACAAAAAAAACATCAATTAAGGAATAAAGTTTTCACTTCAGTGTCTGACTATGACTGACTACGAGTATGAAATATCTGACTATCAGTATCAAATATTCACTTGAGTATCTGACTCTGCCATTAACTGTTTCATATGGCATTGAGAAATTGATGTCTTCCGAAACATATTATAGTTAAATATATAAATAGTTTGCAATCACTGTACAGTTATATAATTGTCACAACACTCTTTTCTGCCATCAACGACATGATTGATTTTGTCTTACTTTTCGTAAAATTATATTGGTTATTGTGAGTTAATGAAGAATATTTGAAGAAAAAAACCATGTATTTACTAATATTGGCTGTAACAACACATATGTCATCTAACATAGCTTCATGAATAAGGTGTAAATGTTACGTGTAAAGGCTGAAACGGAATTTACTCAAACACTTGCAACTACCCCTTGGACACCCAATTACGGTTTGCTTTGTTTGTTGTTAAACGCCGTCACCTATACTGATCGTATGGGGCGAAATCATGGATCGGGTGATCGTGCTCGATGACTTGATTGGTGATGTATCAACGTACCCTGAATGCGTGGATCGTTGCTCATAATAACAATAACTGGATTGGCTGGTACTCTCAGTTATTCCCATTAAATCATAGGTTATATCAATCCAAAATTAACAGGAAGTTAAAGCCATCGATATCCGCCGCATTTTATAATATGTTTGTTTGTTAACTAACACCACACAAAGCAGTACAAATTGGATTTAACAATACAGTATCTTAACACCACAGTACAGTGCAAGTACTCAGTCATGTCACAACTAAATCATAATGGAACAGTATCGTCGGGCGATTGCATTTGGAAGAGGTCGGCAGTAGCCAGGGTATTCAATGCATTCTGGACCTCCATCTAGTTTGACTTTGGTATTGGTACCAACTACAGGGTACATCAGGTGACCGATCTCTTGTTACAATGGCTGCCAAGGACGACGTATATCCGGTTATTTGCAATAAATGAGTACAACAGCATCCTCAACCATAGCAGCAATTCCATGATTCGTGAGGCAGGTTTCAAAGCATGTCAGACGGGCCGTGTTCATGCCACAACATCCGGCACATTTATGCTGCATCCAAAAGTTAGCCAATCACACTTATTGGTAGTTGGTTATTGAGAGTTAGACATGTGTAAGTGGTTGATTCAGTCGGAGGTACACTTAAATAGGACCCTCATCATAAACTCATTGCTGAGCCTTTTACGAGTGAATCATTTACAATCATATTTTAGTTAGAAATATTTGTAAGTAAGTGAGCTTTTGTCGTAACCTTTTTGTCCGCCGTCCATTTCCTCCTCGCAAACCACTGGATACGCATACCGTGACACGATACAAATGAAGTACCTGGTCAAAGAAGATGCACACATCTAAAAGAATTCATATTTTCAAACAGACAAGGGACCAGTAAAACAAGTTTACACATTTAATGACACATGTCTTTCAAAGACATGACGTTATAACAAAAGAAAGACGCAAGAACAGAATTGTCAATTCAGACGTCAGTAGCGTGCGTGTACCCCTCTCATTTGGATGCATGCAATGCATCTTCTTCGCATTGAACGGATCAAACGTCTAACACAGTATTGTGGGATGGCATCCCATTTCTCCACCTCCCTGTCTTTCAGTTCCTGTACTGTAGTCGGAGCACATGGTAAACGTCGGAGACAGCAGTTATTTTCCATCCCACATGTGGTCAATTGGAGAAAGAGCTGGAGAGGCAATGGGATCACATTGTTTTGTCCAAGTGCTTGTTGAACAATCCGGGCTACATGAGGTCGGGCGTTGTCCTGCTGAAAAATTATGCCATGTCTATGTTGATTCAAAAACGGGACAACTGGATCAGCTGGATGACCTCGTCACTGTAACGCTGTCCATTCAAATCACCATTGGGCACTTGCAAACGAGTTCTCTCTCTCACATTTCTGGGCGTAACGTTCACCGCGTGGGTTGGGATAGTTGTATTCGGCCACCGCCATGGAAGAGGTAAAAACGAGACTCGTCGGTGAACAGAATCTGTCTCTACTGAATTGCCATCAAACGCACTCGCTGTCTTAAGCACTGCACAGACGCAAACGGCGGTGATTGGCTGGTCTCCTCGCAACAAATCCCGTAACGTCTAAGAAGGCGACGTACAGTCTGTTTCGATATTCGACAAAGGCCATGTGTAGTTCTCGCAGTGATTGTTGCAGCCTGGAACTGATTTCGCAGATTGGTGGTTCGAATCCAATGATCTTGATGGACGCTAGTAACGGGAGGCCTGCCGCTCTTTGGTCAGTATCCAACAGTGTTTGTTTGCAGTCACCACTGCCATAACGTCAAAATGGTGTTTCTGTGCATGTTCAATCACCTAGCAGCTTCATGCCGCGACATTACTGACTGGGGCACAGCAATGGCTCTCAAGCGATCATTTTCAGATCTCCAAACTTCTGTAATAGGCGCCCTCTAAAGCCTGCAAAAGGCGCCCAGTGACAGTAGACTTATAGAGATATTTGACAAAAGGTCAGATGTTATACTGCAGTATTTTGCGTTGTGTTCTTTTCTCCCTGGGCAGTATTCTTATGTCTCTACGTTCTAGATGGCTCCTGACCGGGTTATCAATTCTAATCAGAAAGAAAACACAAAGAATGAAGTTGGATTTAAAGTTGATTTAACAAAACAAAACAACAGGGGCAAAATCCTAACCTTTTCTTTACCCTACGTAATTTTCCCCCTTCCCTACCTACGTAAACCTATTCAACCTTATAACTTAAACCCATCTAACTTAACTCCCAAAAGTAAAACGTCTATTAACAAACCTATTCAATCACTACTCTACTTTTCCCCCACCCGTACATCTTCATCTAACACCTCAACGAAAGCCCTAAAATAATAATGAATGATCCTGATTCAGGACGCGGGAGTCGACCTTGCTTATCAGGTACTGACGATTCCCTACCCAGGGTAGGCTTATAAAGCCAACACGCGGACCATGTGACCAGGAAAACGGACACGACCTGATCCTGATTCAGGACGCGAGAGTCGACCTGTGGATTATATCAAAAATAAATTGAAAAAATAAATAACAGGATTTAAGCACAACCAGTTTAAAAAATGCGAAGAAATGCGATTTCTCAATCACTGGAGAAGTTTGCCAGCGCTTCCTGGTCTTCTACTTCTTGTGC